ACACGATGGCCCGACCCGCGTGCGGCTGGTGGTCACGGCGGACGACTTTGGCTACTGCCCGAGGCGCGACGAGGGCATCGTAGAAGCCTTCCTAGCGGGGGCTGTGACCAGCGTGTCCCTGCTGGTGAACGGCGCAGCGGCCGAGAGCGCGGCTGAGCTGGCCCGCAGGTGAGCGGCAGACCCCCTGCAGGGTTCGGGCGGACTTGGGGGCCGCATGCCCCCGCCTTCCGTGCTCCCGCTCCCGCACCGCCCGCAGGCATAGAATCCCCACGGGCCTCCACGCCAACCTATCCGAGGGCCTTCCAGTGGGCCCGGCTCGCCACGGCGTTTCGTCGCTGCTCAGCCCCGAAGGCTTCTTTCTCGGCAAGATGGGATTCCGAAAGGCGGTGGCGGCTGGAGACGTGGTCTTGACGCAGGTGCGGAGGTGCGGCTGCAGGAAGATGCTCGCGGTGACCTCCCCAGGGCTCCTCCCCGAGGGCATCGTGCAGTTTTTCTGGGCGGAAGCGGCCGTGGATGCCTCCCTTGGTTCAGATACTGGTGCGGTCACAGGGGAGGACATGGAGGCGCTCCTCCTCTGTAGCTGCTCTTGGACGTTCAAGGTGCCTACCTCCCTCTCCCTCCAGGTGCGGGAAGAGCTGGAGGCCCAGTTGAGCCGCTTCCGGGAATTACTGGGCAGGGACCCTACTCACGTGGACGGGCACCAGCATGTGCACGTGCTCCCAGGTGCGTGGGTTGGTGCTTCCAGGCCGGACGCCGGTATGCAGCAGGTGCCTCTCCCTGACTCCGCCCCGCCCGCAGGCGTGTGCCAGGTGTTCGCTGAGGCGCTGCAGACCTGCGGGGTGAGCTTCACGAGGCTGCCGCTGGAGCGCGGAGTGGGAAGCTGCGCCTGGCTCGAGGCCCCAGCGCGTTCTTTCGCCAGCGCCGTGGAGCGAGATGCCCGGGCTGCCATGGGCCCATTCGCCCACCATGGCCTGCGGTAAGGCCCCCTGACCCCTGCCTGGCCCAGGCCCCAGTGCGTCCAGCTGGCTGTCCACTGGCCAGCCATACCTGTTTCTCAACCTCGAAGGGGGTTCAGGCGTCCACCAGCGTTGTCTCCACCCCAGATCCACCTGGCCCCCGGCCTAGCTCTGCCCATCGTGGTCCTGCCACCCTGCCTGCTGATGCCTAGGCATCCACAGGTGGACCGATGCCTTCGTGGGCCTGAGCACCTGTGGCCGGCACATGTCTGCTCACCGGGTGTCAGGGGCGCTGGCTCGAGCCCTGGAAGGTATACCTATGAGCCATGCCCCCACAGCCGAGCTAATGACGCACCCTGGCTACCCGAGTGTGCCTCCTGCTGGGGGCTGCGGGGAGGGTCCTGACGCCTTTTCCTGCTCTTGGGAGCGGCTGCACGAGCTGCGCATCCTCACAGCGCCGGCGCTGCGGGCCCAGCTTGCCAAGGACGGGGTGGAGCTCTGTGCCCTCGACAACCTCGACTCCAAGAGGCCCCAAGAGGAGACCCCTGGTGAAGCCATTCTGGAAACGTTTCTGGAGCCCTCCCCACCATGACCCTGGCAGACAGCCAAGCATTAATGTCTCTTTGTGCCCAGGAAGGGGAACCAGGTCCCAGAGCAGTCTCTGAGACTTCCCTGGATGCTGCCACCTCTGTGTCCAGGTCCTCAAGCTAAGAGTGGTGGCAGAACTTCCAAGAGCCCTCAGGCTGCCACTGGGCCTGGGGCCTGCCAAGAACTGGGGGCCTCTCAAGGTGCCATGTAAGCATCTTCCCTGTTTGGGTGAACTGGGCAGAGATGGCTATGTTAATAAAGTAAGATGTGTCTTGGAAACTTGGGTGTTTACATACTGTGCCCAGGAAACCTTCTCAGACACAAGGACACGAAGTAGCTCCTTCGGGGTGCACCGAGGTCACTACTCCAGAAGAGATCTGCAAACGTGCCCCACTTCTGTCGTTGCTCATGCTTAGGTGCTCTTCATTCTTTTTCTGGGGGGGGGGGTTGGAAGAAGAAATTCTCACCAGGCTACTTTCTGGGAGGCATATTATAATCTCAATTCTGATTTTAAAAGACATCACCTGTTCTAAGGAAGCAGCAAGCAGCCCTTGCCACCCTAGGGGACAGGTCTGAGGAGGTCTTGCAAGCTTGCATGAGTGTTTATGTTCTTGCAGGAGGGATGGTCTTCTGTGAAGGTGGGATCCCTCGTGCCGGGTGGATGCCCTGGGGGTAGGGCTCCCATGTGGCCTGGATCAGGGAGCTGCAGAGAGCAGAGGGTTCACCACGTGGTCCTCCTTGTCTCCTGTCATCTCACATCACACCTTTGCCCAGGCACCTGTGTCCCCATTTTGCAGACCTTGAGATGGGAGTGGCAGAGCAGGGCTCTGAAGCTGCCTGTTCATTTGTGTGTCATGCACTAGGCCCTGGTCTGTGCCAAGCATGGAACCAGGACCAGAAGAGCCCTCTGGAGCTTTCTGAACGGGTGAGGGTAGGATCCGTACCTCCTTTTCCCCTCCACCCACGCCCCGTCCTGACTGGTGGTTTCACTCCCTTTCTGGCTCCATCCTCTACCATGCCCTCTGACCTTGGCTCCTCCAGTCCGAGCCCTTTCCTCTTACCTTTCATCAAGTGCTATGAACTGGAGTCTCGGTGAGTCTGGCCCTTGCTGTGGCCTCGCCCTTGGCTCCTAGCTTCAGCCACCTGGAGTCCTGCAGGCTGCTGGCTGGAGCTGGGCGGGGGAGGCCTGAGGGCAGCACAGAGGCACTCCCCTGCCATGATGTGGGGGTCCGCTGTTCCGAGAGGAGGGGGTGGCTGGCTGTGTGGCTCTGGGGTCCAGGAGAGAGGCGTGGGTGATGGGTGACTCGAGAGTCTGCACAGATGTTGGATGAAGCTGGGGCAGGGGTGGCTGCTGTCACCCAGGGAGCAAGGGAGGGATGAGCAGAGGTGAGGGCCCCAACCAGCCCTCAACTGTGGGCATTTACGTGTGGAGAGGAGAGGGGGCATGGCCACGCTGGTAGGATAATCAGGAGGCGGAAGTCCACCTCGCCGTGGAGGGAAGGTGAAGGGCGGCAGAGGGTCACAGGCTGCACGGGGACTCTGGTGGGCTGCTCACTGGTGTCCCAGGGGAGATGGAGTATTTCTCACTGTGCACTGGGTGGCCCAGCCCAGGGTCTGCTCCAGGCCAGGCCAGGGCTGGGAGCTGGGACACAGCCTGTAAGGAGCTCATTGGCTGGGACACACCTGGGGACAGTCGTGTGACCTGGGCTGCAGTGGGAGGTGGGAACACACAGCAAAGGGTGGGATGCAGCCAGGATGAGGCAGAGGATGCTCTCAGAGTAAGTCACTCCCCTCCCCCAGCTTTGGCTGTGGCCTCTGCAGCGAGAGGTGGTCTTCTACTCAGAGCCTCCTAGGCCTGCCTGCTGCTCCCAGGAGCCTGGCTGCCAGGGCATGGAAAATCAGCAGCTTCCCAACTGCAGCCTGGGCCAGACATGTGCCACGTGGAGGTCAGACCTTCAGCTGGACCCTGTGTGCGTAAAGGAAGCAGGAGAGGAGGCAGAGCCAGTGCAGCAGTGCCTTGGACCAGATTGGGAGGGCTCCAGCTGTGCCCTTGGACCGGGTTGGGAGGGCTACCCTGCAGGGTCGGGAGCGGAGGGACTGCCAAATGAAGAATGAGAGCTGGGCTGAGGCCGCCTCCTGTGGATTCAGCAATGGGGAGTCCAGGGCCCTGGCCAGAGGCGCCCTGGGGGCAGGAGGGTGCTGGGAGCCTGGCTGAGGTGACAGAGTAGATGCACGTTTCGCACTGAACAAGGAACAGAGTGAGGAAGGGGAGAGAACATTGGCTACTGGGTTGAGGAAGTTGAAGGTCTCACAGGCTTCTGGCTTTGGGGAGGGGGCTGTCCTAAGTCACAGGGGATGGAGAGCTAGGACCAGGACAGCCCCGACTGATGGTCAAAGGAAGGCCCCAAGCTTCCTTGCCGCCTGGTGAAATGACAGGAAGTTCCCCCTCGGACGTGCAGACCCAGCTGTCAGGCTCTCAGCTAGTGTCAAACAAACACCAAGCAGGGGACTCGGCTGATAATAAAAAATAAGTGTAGGGTCCCTGGCCAGGCCTGGTGCTGAGTCAGCATTACCCACAGTCCCTGGAAAGGGAGGTGGGTGGGGCTGGAGCCATTCAAGGAAATGGTCTCGCCCCTCCCTAGGACACACCCTCCTCAGTTCCCTGACCTCCGTCAGGACAGCGCCTTCCCTGGGGCCCAAGCCTGCTGTTAGATGTGGCTGAAGTGATCCATGTACACAGAGGTCACTGTCCCCTTCCCAGCACCAGAGGGTCACTCTGCAGCCCTTCTGCTCCCCTCGGGGGCGCCAGAACACCTCTGTGTGCCTCTTTTGGAGGCTGGGTGTGGGGAGACAGGATCAAGCAGGAACTGCCCAAGGGCCCCAGGCCCTGGCTCGTACCCAGTAAGGAAGAAACCCACACAACAGACCTGAGTCTGAGAGCGTTTTTATTAAGGGCAGCAGAGCGGGTCGCAGCATCTTAGAAAGCCTAGTTCCCACCGTGGGGGGAGAGGCGGGGCCCCCGCGCTTCGAGGAACCCAACCCGGGAGCGTGAATCCCTGAGTGGGCCCGGCCAGGCTGTGCTTGACAGCTCTCCCCTCCTCCAGAGGACCCAGCTGTCTGGACGTGGAGCAGCAAGGCTGCCTGTGGGCTTGGTGGGTGCCCACAAGGGCTCCTCAGCCACTGCCCGCTGCGGGAGCAGGCACCAGGCCCGCAGAAGGGACCACACACTGCCTCGCTCTCAGAGGCCAGGCCTCTGCTGATGGGGCAAACCTCAGGCTGCGATGCAGGAGGCTGCTGGCTTTGACCACGGTGGCCATCCTCCCGTGGCGAGCAGAGAAGGGAGGGGGTGACAGGCGGGCAGAGCTACGCGGGTGGAGATACGAAGCAATGTGACAGTTTCCAAGAATGGCATTATTTCTGGATTCAGAGAAGCAACGAGAACAAATGGTGGCTTATTTGGACAGCTTCTGACAGAATTTGGCATTTTATTACAAATCTGCATGTGAGTGAAATACAGTCCAGCATCACCTCTCTGCCAATGAAGAGACACACGTGGGTGGACGCCTGGCCCAGCGCCCTTGCCTTCCTAGGCACAGGGACTCCAGAACCTGCCTGTCGTGTACCGAGGACTAAAGAAGCCGAGTTCATGACACTCCGCAGGCCACACGCCTGGACACCCGAGCAGCACCAGGTGGCCTGACCTGCCATCGCTCCCACTTCTGCACAGGGAAAGCCAAGCTGCTGCACAGGTCTGCAAGCCCCAGAGAGACCTTGCGGTTCAGAACTAAAATTACAACAGGAAGCAAAGGCTCTTGAAGTCATCTTCTCCACAGGATCCAGCCCCCTGAGAGCCAGACGGGAAGCCACCAGTGGCAGAAGTGGAATTGGTGACACCCGGTGTTTGGACCATTGGCTTCCTCTAGGTGTCAGTGACAAGGACTCTACTCTTTCAGGGATAGTCCCACTTGCTTTGAAAAGACATGAACATTCAAATCCTTACAAGTTCATCTGATGATAAATTCTAAGGTCAATTTTTATTTCTACAAAAGAAGGCAGTCAAAACAATATAAAACATGTCAAGGATATTACTGAGTGAGCTTCAAGTGCAGCTTGACTCTGCGAAGGCTGGGAGTCCAGAGGGAGGGAGGCTGGCCTGTTCCTGGGCTGGGCCAGTGACAGCGGAGTCGCCAGAGAGTCAGACCATGCTGAGGAAGGGCTGCGGTGGGGCAGCTGCACTGGGGAGTCGGAGAGTGCGCCCCGCGCTCTGTTGGATGGACACACGTTGGATGGAGCTCGGTGACAGGCGAGTGTGGAATTTCAAACGGACATTCTGGCTTTAGCGCCGTCTGCAAGCACCTGGGCATCTTCCAGAACGGCTGCGGGGAGGTGCGCCAACCTGTGGCCTGGGGAGACTCTCTGGTGAGAAATTCCACCCACAAGTGCTCTGTCCTCTGGCTGGCAGGCCCCCGGGTGGCCGCAGCCCTGGTCCGGGGGGTCGCCCTCAGCAGACCAGCCCGGCTGGAGTTCCATCACGACGTGGACTTCAGGGTCTGCCCATTTGGTGAGCGTTACTGTGGTGACATTAGCCAGAGTTTACAGAAGAGCTGAGCCTCCCTTTCCATGGCTTTTTTGGGGGAGGGGCAGGGGAGTGGAAGTGGTTGGTTGCTTGTTTTTTTAATTTTTTAAAAGGATGTTATAAACTGGAAGCAAGAGAATTTGAACCGACTCCCAGAGCAGGCAGTGCAATGTGGAGAGAGAAGCCCCTAACACCGGCACAGTCTCTTCTGTGGGAGATGGGGCCTGGGTCCGAGGAGTGAGTGAAAAATAAACTAAATGCAAGAAAGTGGGAGTTGCAAGGGGAGGGGAAGAAGGGGAACCACAACCTTTTTTTTTCCTTTTTTCTTTTTTAAAACCTTACGGGCTAAATGTAAATTGAAGATTTTGGATAAATTTGGACAGGAAAAGAAACACCATTCTTTTAAAGTAGATTGAAGCAGTGATTTTTTAAAACAAAGAAAGCAGAACTAGAACATCTTAAATTTTTAATCCTTTCTTTACAGGTTACCTAGACCACTTCTGATTAAGAAAACTGTAGAAAGTTAGTAACTGCCACAAGCGAACGCCAGGCGGCGGCCCGAGTCAGCCTCCAGAGTCCTGCTTTGCGGGGTTCTGAATGCATTGCTCGGGGTCTCTGCGCACACTCGCTGGGGTCAATCGCGGCAGATTTTAGTCCACAGGTCGCTTTTCCCCATATTTCTTTGTAAACTCTTCAGCATTCTTACAGAATTTTTTACGGTCCTTAGAGTATTCTTCAGCTAGGTCAGCCCGGAGTGGGTGCTCGGGCTGGGGGTCGTTCACCAGTGCTATGAGGGACTGGATGACTGCCAAGAAAAGGACAAGCACTGCTGGTTAGGACGCTCAGAAGGGGCACAGCAAGACCTGCAGCTCCGGTCAAACCTGACTTTCATCTCCATGCTTTGCAGACATAGCGGCCTCCCACTCACCTGAAATTCTAACCGCCAGCACTCAGCCCATCCTTCTTCTGAGAGAAGGAGTGATGGATGACAAACAGCCAGCACCACAGTGGACAGCGAACTGTACAGTGATGCTGCGTCCTCCTCCTCCTTCTCCAGGGAGCCTTCTTGTACTGACACACGGGGGATGACCCAGTCCCCACTCCCGACTCTCTCCTGAACTCTGGGCACTCAGGCCCAGCACTGACAGCCTGACTCCCTCGCAAGTGAAGCTTCTCCGGGGCAGGGACCAGGTAGCGTGCCCAACACCAGTCAGCTCAAGGACTTTCTATCATGGTGCCCTGAGTGATTGTGACAGGAAGGGTGTGTGACAGGCCTGCGCCATGTACATGCATGAGCCCACCCTGAGCAGCGAGAAAGGTTCATGTGACCACCCTGTCTAATCACTGGGTGGGGCACAAACCATCCATTCCCAAGGCAGATGTCACGTGCTCCCTAAAGGGCAGTAAGACCCAGAGGTGCTGGAGGGCAAGCCCAGAGGTGAGGGGGAGGGGAGCACAGAAGGTCCAGGGGCCCCAGCCTCCTCAGAAGTAGGGAGCACACAGCCACCACGCTTCTCACATCCATGTCCCTCACTCACCTGACCCCCATCAGGATCAGCACCCTCACTGTCCCAGCAGAAAGGCCTCACACCGAAGCCAGATTCCTTTCTGGGAGCACATGCCTGTCAGTCACCCCAGCATCACAAGAAATTGACTAGAAATGCTGTTTGTCCCATTTCTCCTTCTTTGCTGCATATCCACATGGAGCCCAAATGATTGCTTACTTGACGCAGTTTTTTAAATCAAAAAATATTTTTACAAGGAAGGCAGGGGAGGGAATAGCTCAGTGGTAGAGTGTGTGCTTAGCAAGCACAAGGTCCTGGTCCAATCCCCAGCATCTCCATTAAAGTCATTTTTTTTTAAAGGCAAATGCACACCATATTACCTCATAGGGCTGTGAAAATGATTTATTTATTTACTTGTTTTGTTGTGGGGAGATAATTAGGCTTTAATTAATTATTTTTAATGGAGGCACTGGGGATTGAACCCAGGATCTTGTGCATGCTAAGCACACGCTCTACCCCTGAGCTATCCCCTCCCCCCATTAAAATAAGATTAAAAAAAACAAGGAAAATAAGTGTTAGTAACACTCATGGAAAACCAGTTTCACTTGCCATAACTGAAAGCACCTAAGGCTGCTCCTGTGCAGCAGGGACACCCCTGCCTGAGAAGCACACACTTCCAGGAGCTGCCCCGGCTCACCGCCTCCAAGACCCTCCACTGCACACCCAGCCGTGAGATGGTTCCATTTCGACTTCTGGGAAATCTGAACCACCTTTGCCTTTCAGCATAAATAGGTGGCTTCTTGTCCCTCTACTGGATTAGAAATGGTTCAATAGCAGAGATGACACCGATAAGTTTTCCAGTTTTCCCTCGTATGGAGACTCAAGGCTCTCTCCTGCTCACTATGCCCATCTTAGCACCTAATGTTAAGAGCATAAAACCCTTTCTTAATCACTAAGACTTGGTTTTCAAAAGATACTCACTTTGCAAGTTTGCAATTTGTCTAATTCTTTTCTGAGAACTTGCACTTATTTGATAAAGTCTAAGTATTTTCAAGTTTATTTAGTAGTCCTGATGAGTATTTCATTCTTTCTTGGTTCCTTTGGGAGCTAAACTCTAATAAATCCTGCTGAGCTCAGCCTGGTTTGCCAGTAGAACACTGACAGCTGACAGTGGCCATGGCCTAGCCTGGCCCTTTCCCTACACAGGACAGCACGCTCATCACATAGTCCAGCCTGGGCTTCCTGCTCTCACTCACCCTGAAGCACTTTTCCTCCTCCAAAGTGTAGGGGCTTAGACACATTATCAGAACTTACCTCCTTTCTCATTGCATATGAGCAGAGAATAAGCCTATAAAGGTTCCTGTTTTTGTTCTTTCTGATAGCTCCTTTGTGATGGGGGATGTAAACAATACCTGTAATTTCCCCCTTTTCATGGCGATCCAGTGGGCTCCCTCCTCACAGAGTAATCTGTGAGGTGTACCTTCCTCATCTGCTGTGCAATGTCTTCCATGGAATGTGATACAAAATATAAGCTTATGAATCTTATCCTTGAGTTTGTTATATTTTTTCAGTCCTCTTTCTAAATCTTATCTACTTGATTTGTTATAATAGGGTATGGGGGACTAAACATTCCACTTATGAATTATTTGGTTTTTCTTTTCATCTAATTGTGTTGCTGTGTTGTTTGGTACATAGAGAGGTCAGTATTACACTGGCTTTCCCACTGACTGTATTTCAAACACAAATCTCATTCAACCACCAAACAAAGCCGCTGCTCTGTTGCTCATGTCTACAAGAACCAGACAGTGCTGAGCACAACTGTTTTTACATTCTCTCTTCTGGTACTACTCCTGCCAGCTCCTACCACCTTTCTGTTTGATATAGTTTTGCCTATTTTCTTGACTTTTCTCATGCTATTTTTGCTCAGCTTTTAATGCTTCTTTACTAAAAAAAAAGAAAAAGAAAAAAAAAAGATTTAATTCATATACCAAAAAAGAACTCTCTTAAAAGTATACAGTTCAGTTGTTTTTAGTATATCCACAGAAGTGTGTGACACCAATTTCATCGTCCCAGAGAGAGTGCCCACTGTGCTTAGTCATCACTCCCTCCTCCACCCCAGCCTGACAAACACCCATATACTTCCCGCCTCTGTGGATCTGCCTCTCCCCGGCATTCCGCATGTGGTCCATTCTCACTACTGCAAAGCTGCTGTGAATGCTGAGCTAAGTCATCACAAGTGCCCGGAATGACCAGCTACAGGGCTACCCAGCTGAGCCCAATCAACCCACAGAATGAGAAATAATAAATTGTTACGCTGAGTCACCAAGCCTGAGGAACGCGGGCATTGGCTGCCGGGGTCGGCACCCCTGAAGTGTGTGAGGACACACACGCTCAAGGCTGTGCCAGCACGAATCCGGAAGTGATCTAGAGAGAAGCCCTCACCATCTCCAGTCACAAAACAGAGGTTCTGCTCTCACTGCAGGTACAAGAGTGTCCCTTTTAAGATAAAATTTTTATCTTAAAAACCCAAGTAAGCAAGTACAAAAAGAATGAAAACTCTCTCTCAGGTTATCTCACTACTTGAAAAAAGCATCCAAAACTGGAAACAGCTACGCACCCAGATCTGCAGCTGCAAACAGGGCGAAGGCTGCCACGGCCTCTCGGGCAGCTGCTAGGGTACAAGGGGCCCGAGGGCGCGGTAAGGAGAGCCCTGTAACCCTGCCTGAGCCAGTGCACAGCGGGAGGCGCCAGCAGAGCTAGGAATTCATAGAAAAACCAGGCACGTCAGTCTTTTACAGACATCAACTAGTGCATGACCAAGCGCCAAGTCCCCTGGAGACCCTTCTACCATGCTCAGCACCCACTCCTTCCTGCTAGTTAGCTGTGAAGCCTGATGGCCGCCTTTCACGGTGACTGTTTCCAACAAGTGAGGCTTGACTTCACGTGAGAAAGGCTTTTAAACCCACCTTCCAGGGGTTCCACTGGAAAATGACTGTTTTTATCAGTCACTGAAAAAAAGCCGCAGCCTCTCAAATTCCAACCTCATCCATTCCCTTTAATTGAAAAAGATTGTAGAGTGGTTCAGAAAGTTATATAAGAATTCTAGGCACCAGAGGATGAGGTCAATATTGCAAAGAAGTTCTGGAATTAAGAACAAAAACTAGACAGTCTACAACAAAGTCCAGTCACTTGCAGAGACAAGAGGGCGGGCAACCAGAACACTGAATCAAGCACTTTTCCCAGAAAACAGCACGTGTATGTACGTGTACACACAGCACCGAGACATGGGGTCACACCCCTCACCGCGAGGGCAGCAAATGCTGGGCTGCGGGCAACGCAGTTGGCCCCGCAGGGTTTCTCTGGACTCCGTGTGGCATGGCCTTAAGACAGGACTCAGGAGGCCCTGCCTGCAGCAGCGCCCCCAGAAGACATGAGGAGGCCTCACCTTGGTCGGTCTTGGTTGCGGGCTTCCAGTTTTCAGCACTAATTACCGGCAGACAGACCTGCCCCTTCTCGTCGATGTTTGGGTGATAGATCTTCGTTTTAAACGTGATCTTCGGGGGTTTGAATGGGTACTCTGCTGGAAAGTTGATTTCAATTCTGAAGGCCCCCTTATCATACGGAGGGTTGTCCTGGAGGGAAAGACAAGAGGGCACAGTGAACACACCATGTCTACAAGCTGTGGTGGGGACAGGAAAGTTCTGTCTACTCAAGCAATTCATTTGTTTCAAGAGGTTACTAAATTCGGCCTCGTCACCTTCGGGGAACAACAATCAACCAGCGTTTCTAAGAGCAAGACACCCGCTAAACTATGAAAGGCCTGGGATTGATGCCCTGGGCTCTCTACCCTGTTTTTTAAATAGACCCTATTTTTTTTTTAAAGTAGTTTTAGGTCTACAGCAAAACTGAGAAGAAAGCCCAGAATCCCCGTGTTTCTGCTCCTCCACACACAGCCTCCACCACCCGCCCGCCGTGCAAGCCTGAGTGCACAGGGTGCCTGGGGACGCACAGCCCCTCCTCCAACTCCGGCCTGACAGCATGCTCCCTGGAAAACGGAGTTCCTCTGCTGGGGAGTGAGGCTGGCACACACCAGGTCTCCACACTGTCCCCTGTCCCAGTCCCACCCAGGGAGAGGTAAAATTAGGGAGGGCTGAAGGGTGGGAAGAGGTATTCCAGGCAAAGAGGATGAAGACTAGGATGGCTGGGCTTGGAAGGGACAGCATGGGGCAAGCCAGGAGGCTGAGGCCCCGTTTAGGGGTCTGAAGCACCCCACCAAGAGGCTGGACACACTGTCAGAAGGTGAATTGTGTGGCAGCTCGTCAGGAAGGTAGAGCCTGGGGTCTGGATGAGGGAGCAGAGGCTGCAAAGATGCAGGCCATGAGCAGCTGTGTGAGGAGAGAACCCCATACACACCTGGGAAACGTGGGGTCAGGCTGGACTAGAAGATCATCTTCACCCTAACAAAACCTTCCCTCATCCTTTCTGTAGGGAACGCAGAATTCTCTAGAACTCTGTCCAGAAGTTAAAGTGGTGGCAGACCCCTCCCAGGCCTCAACCTTTGTATGCACCCGCACAGCTCGCCATGTAGGAGAGCTGGACTCCCTGTAACTGATGAGTTTACGGAGGGCTTGGGGAACACTGCTTTTGGTTTTCTAAAAAGAGATTTAAAATGTTTTTCCTAAGTAAAAATCATGGTCATTTATACTGCTTGAGCCATGTAAATCTAACTTCTGTATGGCTTCCGGCCGGTGAGACCTGTCAAATCTGTTCACTCGTCATCCAGGAATGACCAACGGCACAGCCCCACCGTGCGCCAGGAGCTGGGAGGCAAATCTGGGACCGTTCCGAACGTCCACACCGGTGATGAGGTAAGAGCCACCATGTCCTGCACACCCGGCGCACGAGAGAAAAGTCAAGAAAAGCAGCTCTAATACATAAGCAGCTCACATGACTTAATAGGAAAAAAACAAACAACCCAATCCAAAAATGGGCAGAAGACCTAAACAAGCAATTCTCCAAGGAAGACATACAAATGATCAATAGGCACATGAAAAAATGCTCAATATCACTAATTATTAGAGATATGCAAATCAAAACTATAATGAGATATCACCTCACACCAGTCAGAATGGCCATCATTCCAAAGTCCACAAATGACAAATGCTGGAGAGGCTGTGGAGAAAAGGGAACCGTCTTACACTGCTGGTGGGAATGCAGTTTGGAGCAGCCACTGTGGAAAACAGTGTGGAGATTCCTCAAAAGACTAGGAATAGACTTACCATATGACCCAGGAATCCTGCTCCTGGGCATATATCCACAAGGAACCCTACTTCAGGATGACACCTGCACCCCAATATTCATAGCAGCACTATTTACAATAGCCAAGACATGGAAACAGCCTAAATGTCCATCAAATGTCCATAAAGAAGATGTGGAATATTTATACAATGGAATACTATTCAGCCATAAAAACCAACAACATAACACCACTTGTAGCAACATGGATGTTCCTGGAGAATGTCATTCTAAGTGAAGTAAGCCAGAGAGAAAGAAAAATACCATATGAGATCATTCATATGTGGAATCTAAAAAAAAAATAAATAAATAAATACAAAACAGGAACAGACTCACAGACATAGAATACAAACTTGTGGTTGCCAAGGGGGCAGGGGGTGGTAAGGGATAGACTGGGATTTCAAAATGTAGAACAGACAAAAAAGATTATACTGTATAGCGCAGGGAAATATATACAAGATATTATGGTAGCTCACAGAGAAAAAAATGTGACAATGAATATCTATATGTTCATGTATAACTGAAAAATTGTGCTCTACACTGGAATTTGATACAACATTGTAAAATGATTATAAATCAATAAAATATGTTAAAAAAGAAAAAAGAAAAAAGAAAAGAAAAGCAGCTGTATCGATCCAGGAGGCGGGACAGGCTGGGCCACCCACCCAGGGAACTTGGCTAAGTTCATCTTAACTCCTCTGAACCTGTCCCCTCCCAGGCTACTACCAAAGGAGTAGCTCAAGTGTGCACAAATCAGACAGACTGTTCATCTGTCCCAGGGGGTTTTGCTGAAGGTATGCTGGTCAACAAAGGATGTGTCTTCTGCATAAAGGCCTAAAGCACCCCATGTGAGTTTTCAACATTTTAGTGCTCAACTTATTGTGGGAAGGCAGCTCAGAAACTACAAGGGACCTGGAGAAAACACAGTTTTACCATAGAAAAATATTCAAATTTCAGGAATCTGCTTCAAACTGTCCTCCTTTGTCTGGGAAGTCCCCCATCCTCTCCAATAGGCTGCAGTGGGCTCTGGGTGAGCAGAGCAGATACTGCAGATCCATTACAGCTCCCAAGCCCCACCCCTGAGCCCCAAAGCCACTGTGGCAACTGAGACCAAGAGGAAGCTTGTCTACCGCACCAAACCGCCTGGGGCCTCACACTCACATGTCCTATGTCTCACCCTGTGGTCAAGCTGAAGCTTTCCTTCCCATGGCCACCCTTCAAGAACCCCAAGACCCCACCACACCCCATGTCAGAGCCCTTCCACCAGCCGACGTTAGTCACAGTTTTGTGTCACCAATGTGATGGCTTTCCCTGTGACTCAGCGAGGACACCATGCAGCTCTGCGCAGCCACTCCCTGACTTGGAAACCGGCCACAAGGAGATCCGGCCCTGTGGGAGCAGGTGGACCCTGGTTCGGCCTCCTGACCTACCACTCCTTCGGCGGCGTCCTTCCCCCAGCCAGGAACGGAGCTCAGCCCAGCTGGCGGCCCGGGTCCAGCCAGCTGTTACAGAGGACAGGGAGGGGCCTCCCCGCTCTGAGCGCCAGGCTGGTTCTATGCTCTGAAGCGTCATGGTCCACTCCAGGGTCTGGCCCAAAGCCAAGACAAGCGCATGGTCTCTGAGCACAGTCTTCTTGTCCTATGTAAACTGTCAAATAGTCATTCTCTCTTATCTCTTCTAAAAACAAGCTTCCGGGTTACCCAAATTATGAAATCTGTTCAATTAGCAGATTCATCTTGTGCTAACTTGCTTTCTGAAGATGACGTCTTTGTACTGTTTTCAACACTCTGGTTTGTAGGACTTTTCACAGCACAGCTTTGTCAAGGGAGTCCAGGGTGGAGAGCCTCAGTGCGGTGCATGGACTCTGGGCCTGATGCCCCTGCTCCGCCGCACACCCCGCTTGGCTGCGCTCTGAGTTTCGGAGTCCAGATTCCCAGCAGGCAGTACTCCCTCCCAAAAGCAACCTGAGTACACCCTGAGGTTGGTGGCAAGATTATTTCTCCTCTGAGGCTCCGCGTCAGGAAAGTGGGTGGGGGACTACAGGAAGAGGAACCAGAGAGAAGGAGAGAAGGGACAGAGGCAGGAGGCAGAGCCGGGAGGAAGGACCCAGAAGGAGGATGCACCCTGGTGGCGCTCCTGGAGTGGAGCTGGGCTGCCGGCTCCCTCCTCCCCGCACCAGGCCTGGACTGTGTCAAGCGCTCCTGATCACCAGAGCCCAGAGAGAAAAGAGAAGGGGAAACAGTACAAACGCCCTCCCAGCTTGGCGAGTTTTTAGGTTTTGTCATAAGCAGGAACAAGGGTCTTAAACTGAGGTGAAATTCACACAACGTACACCTGACTATCAGAACGAGCACAATCCCATGGCATTTAGTAAATGCCCAGTGCTGTGCAACTCCCTCTCTCTCGTCTCAAGACATTTCCTGTCACCCCAGAGACACACTCTGTGCCCATCAAGTAACAAATGGAAAATTCAGGCCACAGAACTGTTCAGTATGCTGCATTTTTGCTTCCATGGAGGCAGTGATGGGGAAGTGGGGCAAGATGGGGCTGCGCAGGCGGGTCTAGGTTGGGCTCACCTCCCTGAGCCCCTGGGTCCCGAGACCAGAGCACCTGCCACACGACCATCTGTCAGGTGCACTGACTCTCTCTTTTCAAAGCCAAGCGAAGTGGGGTTTCCTTGCTTGCAGTCAAAAGCAAAGATCTCACTAGTATGAATGGTGACTGGAGGGGACACGGAGGAGGGCGTGATTCAGAGACTAGGGATGGACAGTTTCAGAGGAGACTCAGGAGGAGGAGGATGGCCCAGCTGGAAGGGGGTCTGCACAGCTTCAGAGGCAGGAAGAGGCATGGTGGTCCCTGAGAAGGCCTCTCTCTCTTCAAGTTAATAAACAGGTATTTAACTCAACCAGCCTCAGACCAACTCAGAGTTAACTGGTGGAGGGCATGACCCAGGGACAAGGGAGCAAAGCTCCTCAAGAGGCTAGTGCCTGAGCCCAGGGAGGGGAGCCACTGCAAGCCTGTGAGGTGCTGCAAAGGACCTTTGAGATGGAAGAGCCTGCAAAGGTGGCTCCAGCTGTTTACAGTGGGACGTTATCAGTGTACTTGATGTTCATCCCCCCAGAATACCCTACAGGGCTCAGCAGAAGCTGGTGTGTGGGCACTGGAAGGGGAGTGGTGAGCCCCAGGGCCAGCACCAAGGTCAGGAGAACAGGATAATGGCACAGAGACTGCTCCTCTCCCAGCAGGCTGGGGGGTGACCACCAAAGCAGTACAAGGCCTCTCCAGGAAACTTCATTTCATTCTAAAAACAATTATTGACACAGCTTTGAATATACAA